GATCACCTTTCGAACTTGTAACCGATGTCCTGCTACATAAACTGAGGATGGGAGTTCACGGCTGTCAAAAGTTAAACGAGCCACATTGCTAGGGTATTGTCTCCGCCCACGGGCAGGAAGAACATAAGTGTCTACCTTGAGGATTGGGAGATCTTGGAGTTCCAGCTGTTCAAGAATATCATTGCCACATGTCTGGAAATTTTGTTGAACTATGGTATGGGCAGAATGACGGTACCACTACAAGAATTGAGGGAATGATGTTTTTCAACAGTGACAGGAACAGTATACTGGGAAAGAAGAGAAAGATTATGAGCTTGGGTAGCATTCTGTACAGTGATGATGCGTGTACCGCTCTTAAGAGCATGAAAAGAAATATCTTTACCAACATGGTGTAGGAGTGCCTTGCCAATACTGTGGTCGGAAAGATAGGCGGTAGAGGAAGTCAGTCGTAAAGTGAAGAATTTAGTCCATTGTACATTCTGAAACTGAGCGTGGAAAGGGAGTGCAGGATGTGTTGATCTCTTCTGAGAAGAACGAGAAGGTGGAGAAGTATCATCAGCAGGTAACTGTCATTGGCATTTAGGCGTGGAACCAGAGTTGGTCCGACGTGGAACGGGCCGGCGATTCAAAAATTGCCGCACCATAGAGGGAGAGGCCGGAAGCATAGTTAAAGGAGAGCGGAGGTCAGATAAATCGAAGGAGTCAGTCGAGACCTCAGTACCTGAAGCGGGTGAGGAAACAGCACTGGCAAGAGGTACAGAGGCATGAGGAGTGTCCGAAGAGTGGTCCAAAGACGAAGAGGGGTCAGAACGGGGTGCGGTATCAAGAAGGGGCCCGGGGGTAGCAGGTTCATGGATTGGGTTCTCCATGGTTAGGTTACTTCTTTCTTTTTGTTTTTAAGAAAAAAAAGAAAAGAAAAATAAAAAAAGAATAAAAAAAAGGGGGGACCGGGGAGGGATAGTTCCTAGGGGATATGAAAGGGCCAGAAATCTCCCTCCGTGCCCAAGAGGACCTCAGGACCAGAAGTAGCGTAGATGCAGCATGGAACCCGTGCCATACCCTACCCATCATGCCAGTAAACCAGCAATCCGGGAGAGCAACCTCACATCTGCCGAGCTACCTTGGTGGACAAAAGAGAGGGCGGCCGGATATCCGCCACAAAGCATACCTCCTTCGGCCACCACCCCCGGAATCCGAAAGGTGGCTTCCAGAGATACACCCATCGCCCGAGAGACACCCAAAGCCACCCTCCAGGATACCGGAGAGGGATCGGGACATCCCCAGGCAATCCAGATTCCACGGCAAACTACGCCACCGCCAAGAACCTCAATGGAATGGGATGGACCCCGGTACCCTTTCCCCTACCTAGGAACTAGCGTGCGTGTGGGAAAAAATCCCAAAGGCCAAAAAGGAAGGGCAAAAGGGAGGGGTGGGGAGGAGGAGGAAAGGAAAAAAGGGAGGATGGGATAGGGAAGGGGGGATTGGGGGGTAATTAGGTTCGGTCTGAGGAAGGAGACCGACAGGTATAATTCCTCAGACCAAGAGCCTCTTCACCACAACAAGGAGCCCCCCTTCTGCCATTGTATGTATCATGTTTATATGCTATGTAATGGGTTTCAAATATAATTTTGAGGAAAATATAGATGGATTAATGAAAATGCCTATATTAGTGTAAAATAAGACATTTAGTGTGCCCAAGAGTGATTATTATTACGTAGTATTGGCGTCATGAGTAGAGAGACTTAGCAATTTTAATGTGTACATATAAAATATGCTGCAAGTTTAAAACACTTGAAATTTTGGAAAGTTTCCTGACATAATAGATGTAGCCACGGAGAATGTAAACAAACCGGGTGGGGCACGCCGTATTTGAAAGACCGCTTGCCATATAGCAAATTTTGGTAATAATTTGACATCGCTGTATTAGTGGAATGCCGTAAAGCGGGGCCCTACTGTACAGAAGAGAAAAAATCTGAGGCAGCAGTGGTAGTAGCACTAAGGTAAAGATGGAAGGAGTCCATCACCCTTGGCAAAATAGTTTTTGACAATGTTCCAGACAATGGAGCTGAACTCTTCTCCAGGCTGAGGGACAGACTGCCTCAAACTATTCTCCAAAGTTGATGGATTAGTTGCATCTTTACCCCGTCACTACTGCTGCTTCCAATTTATTCTCTATTTGACTGAAGAAGCCTACTGCGTAAATAATATGTTACAACAATAAAGATACCCAACTGTTGCATCTCTCTTACTTGTCAACTTTTCAGTACGTCTTTGTTACCATTTTCATAAGATATCCCATGTGTCACACAAATATTCATTTTAATTGTATTATTATAATCAAAAAGAAGCGCTAAGCCACAAGGGCTATACAGCGCTGCAGGGTAGGGAAGGAAGCGAGGGTATTGGATGGCAGAAGGGAGGAGGGATGATCAGTAGGTTACAGAAAACAGCGGGGCAGGGGATAGTACGGGGGTAGGGGGTAGCAAGAGATTGAAGTAGAAAGGGCTGAAGGCATCAGAATTTGTGAAGTCAGTTAGTTGTTGTCAAAAAGTCAATGAGAGAGTCTGGATGAAAGGTGGGTCCATCAGCGAGAAGGGAAGGTAAAGAGAGAGCAGCAGAGCGAAGACGACGATGGAGGTAAATTCTGCGTGCTCGTTGATAAAGTGGGCAGTCCAACAGAATGTGGCTGACTGATAATGGAACTTGGCAATTCTCACAGAGAGGAGCAGGGCGCCTCTCTACGAGATATCCATGAGTAAGACGAGTATGGCCAATGCGAAGACGGGAGAGAGTAGTCTCCCAACCTCGACACTGGTGATAAGAAGACGGCCAGTAACCTATACTCGGTTCAATAGATTGAAGTTTGTTGCCGAGCATAGTAGACCAACGTTGTTGCCAACGGGTGTGAAGTTGGGAAGATATTGCAGCAAAATTGTCCGTAAATGGAATACCTCTACATGAAACTGGTAGGTCATGTACTGCTGACCGCGCAGCAGTGTCTGCCTGTTCATTGCCCTGTACGCCAACATGACCAGGGACCCAACAAAAACCAATATCTTTATGCTTGGTAAAGATGCGGCGTAGCCAAAGTTGGATACGGAGGACTAAGGGGTGAGGTGTATCAAATTTCTGTATAGCCTGTAAAGCACTAAGGGAGTCTGAGACAACCACAAATGATGACACAGGCATAGATGCAATACGGATAAGTGCTGTAAGGATGGCATACAATTCAGCAGTAAAAATACTAGCCGAAGAGAGTAAATGCCCTTGTACGACGCTGTCCGGAAACACTGCTGCGAATCCTACGCCGTCAGAAGACTTAGAGCCATCTGTGTACACAGCAATGGCATGAGAATGAGAGTGAAAGTGGTCAAGAAAATGAGAGCAGGAAGCGACCGTAGACAGTTGGGCTTTCGAGCAAGGGAGAGAGAAAGAACAGACTCGAACAGCTGGAACTTCCCAGGGGGGTAGGGAAAGTGAGATGCTACATGTACATAGAAAGGTGGTAATTGAAGAGAAGACAAGAGCGAATGAAGGCGAAGAGAGAAGGGACGGAGTAAACAGGGGCGGCGAACAAATAAAGAATGTCTACTAATATCTTTACCAACATGGTGTAGGAGTGCCTTGCCAATACTGTGGTCAGAAAGATAGGCAGTAGAGGAAGTCGGTCGTAAAGTGAAAAATTTAGTCCATTGTGCAGTCTGAAACTGAGCGTGGAAAGGTAGTGAAGGACGTGTCGATCTTTTCTGAGAAGAATGAGAAGGTGGAGAAGTATCATCAGCAGGTAATTGTCGTTGTCGTTTAGGCGTGGGACCAGAGTTGGTCCGACATGGAACGGGCCGGCGATTCGAAAATTGCCGCACCGTACAGGGAGAGGCCGGAAGCATAGTCAGAGGAGAGAGAAGGTCAGATGAATCGAAGGAGTCAGTCGAGGCCTCAGTACCTGAAGCGGGTGAGGAAACAGCACCGGCAAGAGGTACAGAGGCATGAGGAGTGTCCGAAGAGTGGTCCGAAGACGAGGCGGGGTCAGAACGGGGTGCGGTATCAAGAAGGGGCCCGGGGGTAGCAGGTTCATGGACTAGGGCTGCCATGGTTAGGTTACTTCTTTCTTTTTGTTTTTAAGAAAAAAAAAGAAAGAAAAGAAAATAAAAATAAAAAAAAAAGAATAAAAAAAGGGGGGACCGGGGAGGGATAGTTCCTAGGAGGCATGAAAGGGCCAGAAATCTCCCTCCGCGCCCAAGAGGACCTCAGCACCGCAAGTAGCGCAGATGCAGCATGGAACCCGTGCCATACCCTACCCATCATGCCAGTAAACCGGCAATCCGGGATAGCAACCTCACATCTGCCGAGCTACCTCGGTGGACAAAAGAGAGGGCGGCCGGAAATCCGCCACAAAGCATACCTCCTTTGGCCACCACCCCTGGAATCCGAAAGGTGGCTTCCAGAGATACACCCGTCGCCCGAGACACACCCAAAGTCACCCTCCGTGATACCGGAGAGGGATCAGGACATCCCCAGGCAATCCAGATTCCACGGCAAACTACGCCACCGCCAAGAACCTCAACGGAATGGGATGGACCCTGGTACCCTTTCCCCTACCTAGGAACTAGCGTGCCTGTGGAGAGAGAGAGAGAGAGAGAGAAAAAAAAAAAAAAAAAAAAAAAAAAGGGCCAAAAAGGTAGGGCAAAAGGGAGGGGTGGGAAGGAGGAGGAGGAAAGGAAAAAGGGGAGGATGGGATAGGGAACGGGGGATTGGGGGGTAATTAGGTTCAGTCTGAGGAAGTAGACCGACAGGTCTAATTCCTCAGACCAAGAGCCTCTTCACCACGCCAAGGAGCCCCCCTTGAAGAGGATTTTAATTTTAGTATCTGCACTTGAGGAATGGCACCTAGAAAATGATAGTAATGTTTTTACCCCTTTGGGACACAGTGCATTGGTGGGAAACAACCAGTTAAAAAACCCCGCTTTTAAAATATCAGAAACAAAAGTAAAACATACATGTATATATGCAATAATTTTATGCAATACAGTAGAATTTCACAAGTTACAGTATATAAAATGACTTGAATGAAGAATATACAGTACTGTTAAATACAAAAGTCTGTTTAAGTCTTTGTATCACTAAATTTTTTAACAATTTATCATACCTTAAGCTCAAAAATCTTTATAGCTTGAGAGAATAGATACTATCTTCTACATCAATCAACACTGAAGTACACATACCTCTTTGATTAATTCTCCACCTGCATACAAGCTATGCTTTATGGATTCAACTGTCTTGTGTTTTTTTTTCCACAAAATTACTTAATTCTTAACAATTACCAATTAATTTGAAAATGGTTTTAAATTAGTGCATTTGATTTATAAATTAGTATATCATATGCTCCAATGCTTATGCAGCTGTTCCTTTTTTGCTTTTGCTTATACCTAGCTAAGCACATAATCCTGTAAAACCACATCTAATCTCGAGCAAATTCTTGCGATTACTGCCACACTAATCTCACATAAGGGAGAGAAGCCATAATGCAAGTACCAGTATATGGCACTAACTCAATATTTTAATAATCTGTATCAAAGGCTAGTCACTTGTCTTAACCTAACAGTACACAACACTACCTCTGAACCAATCCATCAACTTCTATTTCCGGGCTAATGGTAATTTTTCTAGAATCCATGAGCTACAGTGGGGCTCTTCCTGTGCCTCATCAAATGGCTGGGCACTGTTGTCTTGACTGGAGGGTAAGAAGTCTTCTGGGGAGTATGGGGTGTCACGCAGAGGTGCATAACCTGGTGTGAGATCTTCTGGAGATGACTGATCAGAAGAGGAGTCATGATGAAGGGAGAGTGTGTGGGGAGGTTGAAGCTGCCTAGTTCCTGTGTGAAGGGAGTCTAATTCTAATCCTGTTAAAGACTCTGTGATGCCAGAAGACTCCTCATCATCATGATCCTGCTGTGCAAATTTGGAATGTGAGGTTATCATCTCTGCTGTGCGCTGTGCAGCATTAACATAACTCTGAAAAAACGTTGGCCATGACTGGATGGCTGATGCTAGAGACAGCGGTGGATCTACAATAGGGGTGTTGAGGGGGGTGCAGATGGAAGTTGAAGCTTCGGCTAATTCTTCGTCCAGCATTAATCCTGCAATAGCTTCATCACTAAGCATTTCAATGCTGGAAAAAAATTATGAAGTTTTCCATAAATGTAAATACGTACTTTAAGTTACAGTTCATTATATGCTTCTCTAGTACACAGTTTTTAAAAGCTTTGAGATACAAAAATGATGAAAGGATGCCAATAATTTTTTTCTTTTTTAAATTACAATTTTGTTATTCTCCTTTGTAAATTGACAATAAATGTAAGTATTAATGGCAAAATACTTATGAAGATCCATGATTAATATTACTGTACCCAAATATACACAACAATGCACATTATGTTTAAGAGCAAAGGATAAAATTTGTAAATTATGAGATGAGGCAGTCTTAACCCTTTGACTGTCGTGACCCCAAATCCTAAAGTCTCTCTCTGTCGCAAAATTTTTGAGAGAGAAAAAAAATTCTTATGAAATGATAGAGAATCTCTTCCTGATGTTAATGACACCAAAAGTACGAAATTTTATAGAAAACTTACGGAATTACGTTCTTGCAAAATTAGCGATCTCGGCAATGTTTGTGCAACGGTGATTTTGCCCACTTTGAGCCCTATTTTCGGTCAATTCCACTGTTCCAGTTGACCAAACTCACAGCTATTCCTTTAGAACTCCATCTGTGCTATCGACTGAGTACAAGAAACCACCCAGAAATTGGCAATTTGGCCAATTTCATGCAAATTAAAAAAGATGCCAATTTCAAAATAGGGTAGAGAATGAACATTTTCTCTGTTCATCAGTCACGTCTCCAGGCCCTTCTTATATTATTCTTGCTTTCTATTTTGAATTTTTATTCACACAAAAAATAGAAGATTTACTGTTATGCAGACTACTGCATTATTATAATAATTGTATAAATAATATCAACCCATTCGTGACTGTGTATTAGAATGGCTAGCTGGACACTTATTGGACAATGTTTACTCTTGAACATCGGTAAAAATCGAACATTTCCGCTACTTTGAGCTCAATTTCAAGGTCCTTTTCATTGTGAAACCAATTAAAATCATCTCTATTTCTGTAATATGTTTAACATTTTATCAAATGATACCAAGAAAATGAGAATACAACCATAAATTCTATACAAAAATACATCTCAAATTTGGCGTTTTAATCCAAAAACACGGTCAGAGGTTTGTTTTCCTCATTATGCACTGTGTGCTGCAGGATTTTTTTTAAACTGCACACACTGACCATACAGACTAATTCTCTCACATGTGGGCCTACCAGCTTTCTCCCGCTTGATTTGAAGCCACTAGAATTTTGGAGTATAAATATGTCAAAAATACTGGCTCGTAGGACGTATATATACGACCAAAACAGTCAAAGGGTTAAGTGTCACCCAGGTAGTGTGTAGCATATGCTCACCTGGCTAGACTCTCTGTATCAGAGATGATAGAATCTCGGTCTTCTACCGCAAGGTACTGTGTTGCTGGTGATAGTGCTGGGCTCCCCAGACCAATAACCTTAAATAAATAAATTAAGAGTCAATATGCACTTTACTCAGAGATAAATCAGAAAAATCATCATACCAAATAATTTTTTTTTTTTTTTTTTTTTCAACAAGTCGGCCGTCTCCCACCGAGGCAGGGTGACCCAAAAAAGAAAGAAAATCCCCAAAAAGAAAATACTTTCATCATCATTCAACACTTTCACCACACTCGCACATTATCACTGTTTTTGCAGAGGTGCTCAGAATACAACAGTCTAGAAGCTTAAACATATAAAGATACACAACATATCCCTCCAAACTGCCAATATCCCAAACCCCTCCTTTAAAGTGCAGGCATTGTACTTCCCATTTCCAGGACTCAAGTCCGACTATATGAAAATAACCGGTTTCCCTGAATCCCTTCACTAAATATTACCCTGCTCACACTCCAACAGATCGTCAGGTCCCAAGTACCATTCGTCTCCATTCACTCCTATCTAACACGCTCACGCACGCTTGCTGGAAGTCCAAGCCCCTTACCCACAAAACCTCCTTTACCCCCTCTCTCCAACCCTTTCGAGGACGACCCCTACCCCGCCTTCCTTCCCCTATAGATTTATATGCTTTCCATGTCATTCTACTGTGATCCATTCTCTCTAAATGACCAAACCACCTCAACAACCCCTCTTCTGCCCTCTGACTAATACTTTTATTAACTCCACACCTTCTCCTAATTTCCACACTCCGAATTTTCTGCATAATATTTACACCACACATTGCCCTTAAACAGGACATCTCCGCTGCCTCCAACCGTCTCCTCGCTGCTGCATTTACCACCCAAGCTTCACACCCATATAAGAGTGTTGGTACTACTATACTTTCATACATTCCCTTCTTTGCCTCCATAGATAACGTTTTTTGACTCCACATATACCTCAACGCACCACTCACCTTTTTTCCCTCATCAATTCTATGATTAACCTCATCCTTCATAAATCCATCCGCCGACACGTCAACTCCCAAGTATCTGAAAACATTCACTTCTTCCATACTCCTCCTCCCCAATTTGATATCCAATTTTTCTTTATCTAAATCATTTGACACCCTCATCACCTTACTCTTTTCTATGTTCACTTTCAACTTTCTACCTTTACACACATTCCCAAACTCATCCACTAACCTTTGCAATTTTTCTTTAGAATCTCCCATAAGCACAGTATCATCAGCAAAAAGTAACTGTGTCAATTCCCATTTTGAATTTGATTCCCCATAATTTAATCCCACCCCTCTCCCAAACACCCTAGCATTTACTTCCTTTACAACCCCATCTATAAATATATTAAACAACCATGGTGACATTACACATCCCTGTCTAAGACCTACTTTTACCGGGAAGTAGTCTCCCTCTCTTCTACACACCCTAACCTGAGCCTCACTATCCTCATAAAAACTCTTTACAGCATTTAATAACTTACCACCTATTCCATATACTTGCAACATCTGCCACATTGCTCCTCTATCCACTCTATCATATGCCTTTTCTAAATCCATAAATGCAATAAAAACTTCCCTATCTTTATCTAAATACTGTTCACATATATGCTTCAATGTAAACACCTGATCTACACATCCCTACCCACTCTAAAACCTCCTTGCTCATCCGCAATCCTACATTCTGTCTTACCTCTAATTCTTTCAATTATAACCCTACCGTACACTTTTCCTGGTATACTCAGTAAGCTTATTCCTCTATAATTTTTACAGTCTCTTTTGTCCCCTTTCCCTTTATATAAAGGGACTATACATGCTCTCTGCCAATCCCTAGGTACCTTCCCCTCTTTCATACATTTATTAAACAAAAGTACCAACCACTCCAACACTATATCCCCCCCTGCTTTTAACATTTCTGTCATGATCCCATCAGTTCCAGCTGCTTTACCCCCTTTCATTTTACGTAATGCCTCACGTACATCCCCCACACTTACATTCTGCTCTTCTTCACTCCTAAAAGATGGTATACCTCCCTGACCAGTGCATGAAATTACTGCCTCTGTTTCTTCCTTAACATTTAAAAGTTCCTCAAAATATTCTCGCCATCTACCTAATACCTCCATCTCCCCATCTACTAACTCCCCTACTCTGTTTTTAACTGACAAGTCCATATTTTCCCTAGGCTTTCTTAACTTGTTTAACTCACTCCAAAATTTTTTCTTATTTTCATTAAAATTTCTTGACAGTGCCTCTCCCACTCTATCATCTGCTCTCCTTTTGCACTCTCTCACCACTCTCTTTACCTTTTAAATATCAGTGAAATTGGAATTTTTATATAAGGTTCCATGAGCCAATATAGGATTAGCTACCTGTCAATTTAGACTTCCATAACACCAGTTTTCACTGATTCAAACAATACTGCCAAGAATGATCCTTTGATTAGCAAATCTGTAATACAACATGATTGTAAACAACTTATGGAATGAACAAGACAAACCAATGACAAGCCAATACTAAAATTGGCAGTCTAATTTTGCAGTTTTTTTTTTAGAATCTCCCAAATGAACTTTGTCAATAGCAAAAAATAAATGTGACAACTTCTGCTCTGTATCTAATTCAATAATACCTTTCAATCCTAGACCTTCTCCCCAACAAGCATTCACTTATTTTACACCTCCCATCTATAAATACTAGTGAATAACCAAGAAAACATGATACATCTCTGTCTTAGGCTTACTTGTACTGGAAAATAGTCCCCTTCTCTTCTGCTTACCCGAACCCAAGCTTCACTTCCTGTATAAAAAATCCTCATTGCATATTACTGATGGTATACAACACTGTCAAGTCTATAAATAAGACCCATTTAGAATACCTGAATATCTTCATTGCTGAAACATTATGCCTGCACAACAGGCTTCCTCAATTGGATACAGGTGAATGTAGCAGTGGAAGTAGTAAATAAAAACAAGCAAACATTTATTGCCAAAATCTTCATGCAACTGCCTAGCCTTTTCACAAATAAACGAAGTCATAAGAGTATTTCCTGCTAATTGTTTCTCATTTATCCACACCAATAATAACTTCTCAACCTCTTCCAGTACTGGTGATCTCATTTTTGTCAGCATAGTTACTCCCTTTGCAACAACAGCATCCATTTCATTTTTCTTGGCCACTATGGAACATAAGGTTGTGTAGGGTTTCTTATACATCCTGGACAGTTTGGCCACACTTGTACCACTTTCATATTGTTCAATGATGGTTTTCTTAAATTCAATCGTATTTCTCACCTTCTTTACCACAGGCTTGGCACTAGGAGCTTTCTTTGGAGCCATGGTACCTTATTTAGTACTTGCAAGCACTAAAATAAATGGAATATTATGAAATATTTCGCTGGAGCACGCGAGGGGACCTTCGCTCACTGGTAAACAATGCCAAACTGGCTGCCGCCCTGGCTCACGCCGTGCGTACGTGTCCCGGACAAACTACGACTCACGAGTCAACCTATGAAAAGCGAGTCCATGTTTATACGAAAATGCCCCTATGATTGGCGAATTTTATGATTGCCGGGAACTACGAAAAGCGGGGGACCACTGTATGACCAAAACTCGCTATACGGCTCTCCCCACCTGACTTTCTAATATGGTCACCGCACCCCACCCGGTTTGTTTACATTCTCCGTGAGCTCCGTAAGCACCATGTCTCTCCATTATGTCTGGAAACTCCAAAATTTCAAGTGTTTTTAAAAATTATTTCATATTTCATATATTTATTTTTTAACACATTGGCTGATTCCCACCAAGGCAGGGTGGCTCGAAAAAGAAAAACTTTCATCATCATTCACTCCATCACTGTCTTGCCAGAGGGGTGCTTTACACTACAGTTATAAAACTGCAACATTAACACCCCTCCTTATATATATTCTGATAAATATGCTTATGTATACCTGTACCTAAATAAACTACACACTGTGGTGGTGTGCAGGTACACATTTAAAATCACTAAGAGTGTCTTATGTCTTGAGAAGCCATATTAGTAATGATGATAATACTCAATAATAATCACCGAGTCTCATTAAATGTTGTATATTACGTTAATGTACACATTTTCATTAATCCATCTACCATGATAATTTTTCAAAATTATATAATAAACATAGTATGTAACAAAGATGATAAATGCACCCCACAGTGGAATAAACAAACAAATATGAGACGTGGTAGCCAGACGACTTGTATGAGTGACACCATATTAGTAATGATAATAATAATACTCAATAATAATCTCACTAAACATGGTGTGGATGATAGAACAGGAGTGAATTTATACCCCATACAAAGAAATACAGTAGACCCTCATATTACATGGATTTATTTGGCACTTTTTGGTTGTTACACTATTGAAAAATTGCGGAATAATTTTATACAATGCTGCGTAAAACTAACCTAACATGATTCAGTTTGCGAGAGGGGAAAAAATCTGGAGCGTTGTCCACAAGATATTTCCCTAGCTCAGGCCACCGCCTGGCTGTGGGTGAGACCACTGTCTCCGCGGGGCTGCACTGGGCTTCAAGGCAGCAAAGGATCGCTTCACCTTGCTACTTCATGGCAATGCATCAGGTGATTTCCAGCGTAAGCCCATAGTTATTTACTGCTCTAAGAATCCTCATGCTTTGAAGGTATAGACAAAAACACCTTACCAGTAATTTGGAAAAAGGTCAAGAGAGGCCTGAGCTTGCTACCATCTGCAGCTCATAAGACTGCCATCCCCACGAGCCCCTTTGAGGCGGGGTAGATGGCAGACCAGAGGCCTAGCTTCTCCCTATGAGCCCCGTGAGGGCGGGGAATGTGGCTAGGCCTGGGGACACTTGGTCCCAAAGATGAGGAGGTACTGTACCTCCTCCCATGGGAGACTTAAGTCTCGAGACACTCCCCAGATAGGGAGCCAAGGCCGGGTCAAGGCCCGGTGGGCTGGTGGCTAAAGCTCCCGCTTCACACACGGAGGGCCCGGGTTCGATTCCCGGCGGGTGGAAACATTTCGACACGT